TTTTACAAAGAAAAAGGAGGGATATAGTAATAAAGACTGTATTAGTTGAGTTATCAAAGAACATAGCCAGATTATAGCCAGACCGTTGTTCTTAATTTTTATGAACAGCTTACTGACTGGAATGGTGTCAGCTGATTGGCAAAAAGCCAACATGGTACCAATATTTAACCACTTGCTGCCCCTTCACAGTACATTTGCTGTGGCAGGGTGGCAGCTGCAGGCACAGTCAGGTCAGATACATGATTCAGCCTCTTCTGGGTTAGGAGCGCACAGCGCACCCATCCTGTGACCACTGTATCCACAGAGGATTACTGTTACCAGTAACCGGGTATCGTGCGATTGCTATGATTGGTCATAGCAATCACATGATAACAATGTAAACAACCTGTCATGAATGGCTTTCCATTTATGAACAGCTTGCTTACTGTTGTGATCTGTAATTGCCCCACAGCAATCACATGGTACCTAAGTACCTGTACCATGTGATTAGCTGTAGCCAAACACAGATCACAATCATAGGCAAGCTGTTCATGAATGGGAATGAAGTAAACTGTCGGTGTTTCAGAACCTGCTCCAATCTAAAATTCTGCACAGAACTGTGAGTATTCCCAGCTGGGTGCCTTCCTGCTGGTCTGTTTGAAAGTTTGAGCTATTCCTTCAGAACTAGTTTTATTTATTTCAACCGGCTCAGTGTGTTTACTGCGGCCACAATGCTGTACCTACACACAAGTGCATCCAAACTGATCAATTTTCAAATATATTTACCATAGTGTGAAGTAAGAAATTTTTTTATTTTTCATTTTTTATTGGATATGTTTTATAACAGTATATTTTTAAATTTATATGATACAAAACCATTGGTGATCAAATATCACCAAAAGAAAGCTTAATTTGTGTGAAAAAAGATATGAATTTCATTTGCACACAGTTGCCACTTAAAGTAGCACAGTGCTGAATAGCAAAACAATGCTCTGGTCATGAAGGGGATAAAACTTTCAGGAGGGTTAGTGGTTAAAAAATGTCAGTGATATATACCTGGAAACTACAGGCCAGTCAGTCTAACACTGATAGTATGTAAATTATTAGAGGGGATGATAATGGACCATATTCAACAATTTGCTGATGAAAACAGTATCATTAGTAGTAATCAGCATGGATTTATGAATGATCGTTCTTGCCAGACCAATCTAGTAACATTCTATGAGCTGTCATCTAGATAAAAGAAGGCCTGTGGATGTGGTGTATCTGGATTTTGCAAAAACATTTGATACAGTTCCCCATAAACATTTAATTCACAAATTGAGGTCTGTTGGCATAGACCATAGGGTATGTACCTGGAAAGAAAACCAGTTACAGGGGTGCGTCCAAGGGTCATAATAAAGAGCGTGTACTCAGAATGGTTTGGAGTGTTAAGTGAAGTACCCCGAGGCTCTGTCCTGGCACCAATTCTGTTTAACTAATTCACAAATGATATAGAAGCTGGCATAAATAGTTCAATCTCAATGTTTTCTGAAGATACAAAGCTAAACAGGGCAATACCTTCATAGCAGGTGATGTTGAAAAATGTAAAGTAATTCAATTACTAGCTAGAAAGTGAACATTTGGGGGATTCCAGGATGAAAAAAGATTTGGGGGTCCTAGTAGATCAGAGGCTCAGCAATGCCAAGCTGCAGCAAGCAAAGCTGGCAGAATATTAGCATGCATAAAAAAGGGAATTTATTCAAGAGGTAAAACTATAATCTTGTCACTTTACAAGAGTCTGGTCATCTTGAGTATGCCATCTGGTCAGCAGATCTCAGGAAGAATGTTTGGAACTGGAGAGAGTCCAGAGAAGGGCAATAAAGCTTATAAGGGGACTGGAGGACCTCAGTTATGAGGAATGACTACAAGCATAAAACGTATTATCCCTGGAGAGGAGACGCTTGAAAGGAGATATGATAGCAATATACAATATACGTACACACACCTCAAGTATGATTCAAAGGGAAAAAACAGTTTAAAGTAGTTTCAGGGAGCTTAAGAAGACACGCAGTCACTCACTGAAATTGGAGGTTTAATCTTAAACTGCGTAGAGGGTTCTTTACTGTCAGAGCAGTAAGGATGTGGAATTCCCTTCCACAAGTGGTGGAGTCAGTGGGGAGTGTTGATAGTTTCCAAAAAACTATTATATGGGCATCTTAGCAAACACAATATACAGTACAGGGATAAAGGAATTATCATTGATACGAACACATGCACACACACACCCACACAGGTTGAACTGGTGTCTTTAGTCAACCTTACCAACTATGTAACTACATTATTTCATTTTGATTGTTTTCCTTCTAAGTCAACCCTGCCCATATCAAGCAAACATGGACAGGGAAGGCAATCCACACAAATCTTGGCAACTGGGAAGTATGCTGCCGAAAGGGGGACTCATATAGATTTTGATTCATTACAGTCCCTACTTCACTCTAGTAGCCACTCCAATTGCTTGTACTGCACAAGAGAGCTGACCGCAGCTGTTGGCATCACTCTGGTACAACCGCGGAACGTTCAGCAACGTACGCGCACGTCCAGAAGTGGTTAATGTCTTTAGGGCACTTCTGAATGTGTTTGTCATCCTTATAGTATTTGGGAAAATAATATTTATTCTCACAATATTTGCAAATTGCAGCTTTGCTCTTAGCAGAAATTGCACTCTGGAAATTATTCCAAACTCCAGATGTTGGTCTCACTATTTTACTGAGAGGAAAAAAAGAAAAAAACTATGTACTGGCCAGACTATAGGTAAGCACTATACATTAATAGGAATCCATTAATAGGAATCTTTTAAAGATTATAAAGATAAACTAATTTGACAGACAAATTTACCCTCTTACCTGTCAATTAAGACCTGAGAGGACAGAAACTATCATCTACTGTATCCCAACAATCACCCAACTGTACAAGGTCCAAGATGGAGCCCACAAGCAAACTAAACCAGAGCCTTTCCGTTGCAGTGCCCCCTAGTGGCACAATGCATAGTCCTCTTGTTTGAGAGCTTCATTGGGAAGTACAGTGTTACTTGAACTGTATTCCAGGATTTGTTGTCTTCAGCTGAGAGAACTTGCAATAATTTATGACGTTACATAAAGTTGTCAGAAATCTTTTGTTAAGGTTGTCATGTTATATAGTTTGAATACCACGTTATAGGTATATTTTTTATTATTGTAAAAGAACATATTCCACGCTTCTTTTTTAGAAAAAGTTTTACAGAAAAATACAGAAAACCGCTTTGAAATAAAAAGAAAACAAAAATGTTTTTGCCAGTTTCCGTTTTTCCCAGGACTTCCCATCCCTAGATAGATCCTTGTTTGGGCACTTTGTTATACAGTATGTGGTAGCAACACTGCCCCTTTCTCAGTTTGTAAATCAGCCTGTCCCATGCTCTCCCAAAGGAAAACAATAAGCTGCGGTGCTGATGCATGTTGCCCAGACATATTGCACCATTTAAAAAAAGGTCTATGAAAAAACAATTGCAGCCAGCAATAATTAGGAAATATGCCCTGTGACAAAAACATGCATCCTGTTATTACTGTAGTGCATATGGAAAGGAACAGGCTGTAAAGAGGCTGCACAACATCAGCAATATATAAATATACACAACAATGGATGACAGAATGACAAAAGGTAACCCCCTCCCCCATTCTCTAAGATACACAACATTTTGCTACCTAAATGACATTCAGAAAAAGAAAAAAGCTTACATCTACTTTAACAGATCTGCAAGTGATTACAAGCCTTATACTAATCTCTTCTTATGCAGTTTGTTAACACAATTCCTAAAGCCTAGAACACATGATCAGAAAATCGTACAAAAAATACCGCTTTGGAAGCGATCGTATCATACACTGATTGTTAGTTACACAGTTTTTGTCCGAAATTATTCAAAGGGACAATCACAAACATTTTTCTCAGGCGATACCAGATCGTACGATTGTCATTTAATCAGTACAGTTTTTGCCCAAAAATACAATACAAATACTTTACATAACTTTTGAATTTTTTTCTGTTTTACAAGAATTTTCATAACTTTAGTAACCTTACACTTTCCATATGAGACTAATATGCCAAAAAAAAAATGGACGATCTATCGTCCAATATTCTCACCATGTGTACAGGGCTTTATGCTTTCCCTTTCACAGATAAAGCACACTGTCGCGTACCTGATAGGAAAATGAAATGACGAGTTTGGTCCCACTTGTGTCACTAGCCCTGACCCCGCTGGAAGTGGAACAGAGGGTGCCTAGAGACCAGGGGAACAAGAGTGCCAGCAGGTGTTGCCTGAAGAGCTTGCAGCTGGAGTCCTTATGAGACTGGCGAACCACCGGTTCAGGAACAGTAGTGATGTGTAGAGCTGGTATCAGGGGCGGACTGACAACTCATGGGGCCCCCGGGCAATAGGGGATCATGGGGCCCCTGTGTTCTTGCCCAAACTCAAAAAAGCCTATGAAAAAGGTACCGGGGCATCTCATGGGGCCCCCTACTGACCCCGGCCCTTGGGCAGTGCCCGAGTTTCCAAATGGTCAGTCCGCCCCTGGCTGGTATAGTAGACAGCCAGGAGTGCACCTGAGCAGGGCAGGAAGCTGGGATGGGAGAAAGGAGCAATGTCACAGGAATAGCCAGGGTCATCAACAGGCGGACAATGATGTACCAAATCATAAGCAAGCCGAAGTTAGGAACAGAGCTGGGGTCAGGAACGAGCATCAAGGCAGGAGAGGAATCAGAAGTCAGGCCAGGAACAAGCCGCGTCAGCAACAAGGGGATCATACAGGAACGAGCAGGAAACAGGGAAACAGCTGAAGACCAATCAGCATTAAGAACAGGCAGAGGCATCCTTTAACCACCTCCTACCCGCCATATAGTAATATGATGGACGCAAGGTGGTTCTCTCGTTCTGGGAGGATGTCATATGACGTCCTCCCATTCTAACTGCGCATGCGCGGCTCCCGAAGTGCGCAGCGTGGTGATCGGCGGTGCACTGTGTCCCTCGGACACAGCGGATCACCGATCAACGGAAGAGCCAAAGATGTCGGCTCGGTCATGTGATCAACTGTGTTCAATCACAGGTGATCACATGTAAACAGGGAAATGCCGGTTATCGGCATTCCACGGAGGGAACATGTACACTGATCATCAGAGCACTGATGATCAGTGTGCCCTGATGATCAGTGTAGCCCCAGCAGTGCCACCTGTCAGTGTCCATCAGTGCCAGCTGTCAGTGCTCATCAGTGCCACGTGCCAGTGCCCATCAGTGCCACATCAATGCCACATATCAGTGCCTACCAGTGCACATCAATGCCACATATCAGTGCCCATCTGAGCTGCCTTTCAGTGTCACCCATCAGTGCCAGTCAGTGCCACTTATCAATGCCAATCAGTGCCACCTGCCAGTGCTGCCAATTAGTGCCACCTATCGGTGCCAGTCAGTGCCGCCTATCAGTGCGCATAATGCTGTCTATCAGTGCCCGTCAGTGCCGCCTATCAGTGCCAGTCAGTGCCACATAACAGTGCCAGTCAGTGCCACCTAACAGTGCCAGTTAGTGCCGCCTATCAGTGCCAGTCAGTGGCTCCTATCAGTGCCATATATCAGTGCCCATCAGTGATGCCTGTCAATGCCCATCAGTGCCACCTACCAGTGCCTCCTCATCAGTGCCCATCAATGCCACCTATCAGTGTCCATCAGTGTAGCCTATCAGTGCCCATCATTGCAGCCTCATTAGCGCACATCAGTGAAGGAGAAAAATCACTTATTTACAAAATTTTATAACAAAAACAACGAAAAAACTTTTTTTTTTCAACATTTTCAAAGGTTTTTGGTTTGTTTAAGAAAAAATAAAAAACCCAGAGTTGATTAAATACCACCAAAATAAAGCTCTATCTGTCACAAAAAATTGATAAAAATATCATATGGGTACAGTGTTGCATGACCGCGCAATTGTCATTCAGAGTGCAACAGTGCTGAAAGCTGGAAATTGGCCTGGGCAGGAAGGGGGTATAAGTGCCCTATAGGCTTATGGTTAAATAGTCCGTCTGGCGCCAAGATTCGCTGTGTGTGTGCACGTGCTTGTGCGTGATCGCGCATTTCTGTGCGCATGCGCACGTCTGGTCAATATTCTGTGGATATTTCTGTGCGCATGTGCATTTCTATTAGCCAGCCATCTCACAGGAATTCCCTTACACACACTTTCAGTATGGACCTTGTGCCCTCACCTTTGATAATGAGGGGTCTGGCTAATCCAAAAGCCCCCTTATTGGCCCTTTTAAGCCAACTGACCAAAGTTCAAAGGCCAGGCAATATATTATGATTACAAAGAATTCAGTCTGGTGAATTGATACACCTGGACTGCAAATTTCGAATCAGCTGGATTTGCGGTGAACCCATGGTAGCTACAAACCTGGACCTTTTCTTGTCTGCCAAATTATTTATAATTTGGTCCAGCTACATTGGTGTTTCGCACACCTCTCTGCCAGACACAACAGCCAGGAGGGTGACATGATGTTCTCTGTTATAGTTAGATACTGTCACAAGGTATAATCAACTTGCCTCCCTGTTACAGAGATCCATCCTGGGAATTTATTGCTCTGGATTGAGACAAGTACACTCTGTAGAGCTTTGTTGATGTTTCATGTCAGAGGTTTACAACCACTTTAACCACTTCAATACCGAGCACTTTTACCCCCTTCCTGCCCAGACCAATTTTCAGGTTTCAGCGCTCTCACACTTTGAATGACAATTGCGTGGTCATGCAACACTGTACCCAAACTAAAATGTTACCATTTTGTTCACACAAGAGCTTTCTTTTGGTGGCATTTAATCACCACTGGGGTTTTTATTTTTTGCTAAATTAACAAAAATTTTGAAATAAAACCCCATGTTTCTTTGTTTCTGTTATAAAAGTTTGCAAATAAATAATTGTTCTTCATAAATTTAGGCCAAGATGTATTCTGCTACATTTCTTTTGTGTAAATAACACAAATCAGTGTTTATTATTTAGTCTGAAGAAAAGTTAGAGTTCACAAACTATGGTACAGTATATATCTGAAAATTGATCAGTCCTGAAGTACTGAAAGCCAATCTAATTTCTTGAGGCTCAAAAATGTCAGAACAGTACAGATATCCCCAAATGATTCCTTTTTGCACAGTAGACAGTCCGACGTATTTCATAACAGGCATGGTGAGTTTTTTGAAGTTGTATTTTTTTTTGTCACAATGTTTTAGAAAATGAAGAAATTAAAAAAATGATTTTCACAATTTTTTTTTACTTACTGTCACCATTGCAGTACAGCGTCATCATATAACTGGTGTGACAGTGATCAGGGACACTGACTGGTGACAGTACGAAATTTTTTTTTTTTTTAATTTTTTTTACATGTTTTTATTTTTTATTATTTTTTCTCCTTTTTTAAGATTTTTTTTCATATGACCAAAGTAGTATAATGTTACCATAGTAACATTGTACTACTTTGAGGAAGTGATCAATATTTTATTTTTTTTTACACAAATTTCTTTGCTATAATCAAGCATTTAACTGAATGAAATCGATTCATTCAGGTTTTCTTGTTGTGATTAGTTGTGTTTGGCCACGGTTAATCGCATGGCACAGATGGACTGTGATTGGCCCAGCCTGTGCATGTGACCACTGTGACCATTCCCAGATAGGCACACTTGTATACAATGGATGGCATGAAAGGAAGCCATCCATTGTATTCAACTGTCATGTGACCTGCTGTGATTAGTCTCAGCAGGTCACATGGTACTGGGGCGGATACACAGATCTGTCATTGGCCGTGTCCGAGGTACATAGCCGGTGACAGATCTTGCCACAGCACGGTCCTGCATGCTCAAAGCGTGATCCGGGAAGGACGTCATATGAAGAGAGGTTCACCCGGCTTTCATTTTACTATAGGCCCGGCGGGAAGTGGTTCAGAACTACCTGCATCTGATTCAGGCAAGCATTTGTGCTAGTGTCAGCAAAATTACTGACATGTGGCAAATTCAGGTAGTTCTTACTGCCACCACTTTAAGGCCTCATGCACACAGGATTTTTTGAAAACTCTCCTAGAAGCTTTTCCTCCTGGCAGCAGTATTTTTGTAGAAAAACTGGGTTTGTATGTTCACCTTCTGTCTTTGCATATTTTCACGCAAACCAAAAACATACTGCAAGCTTCAATGATTTAGATACAGTCTCAAACTGTGTGCCAGTGATGAGGAAATTAGGTTATTAGCCCATTCAGAAAAGAGGGCTTACTATATGTAAGCACAGTGGCTCAATGGTTAGCCCTTCCACCTGGCAGTGCTAGGGTCATTGGTTCGAGTCCCAACCACAGCACTACCTGCCTGGAGTTTGCATGTTTTCCCTGTGCCTGCATGGGTTTCCTCCCACACTCCAAAGACATGCTGGTAGGTTAATTGGCTCCTGTCTAAACTGGCCCTAGTATGTGTATGTATGAATGTAAGTTAGGGACCTTAGATTGTACGCCCCTTGAGGGTTAGGGACTGATGTGAATGTACAATATATATGTAAAGCACTGCATAAATTGACGGTGCTATACAAGAGCCTGTGATAAATATGTGAAAGGTACTGTTCACAGTTAAGTTCTGCATACAGTATTTGCTGGTGTCATAGAAAGAAGTGTCTGACTTAAAGGCTTGCATCTCCGGTAGCGGCACATTCACTTATAGTTATGTATTAAGTTAAGAATTGTTTTCCAAAATTGTTGGAGCCAGAGTGATTCCAGGGAACTCTTCATTAGTATCACTTTCATAATTACAGCTGCAGAGACAAAAAAAAGGTTTACTTAGCTGTAACTGTACCCATGTAATTGGCATGCTTTGAAGGGCATTTGTGAGTTGCTTGACCAGGAGATAACCTTCACCCTGAGTGCTCCATGACGATTTATCTGAAAGGTCATTCCACTAATGTAATGCAGCACCTCTGTGTGTCAGAGATTCTCTAAGCACAAAACAGCCATTCATGAAAAAGCGATTTCATGGCTCCAAAGGAAACCTCTTATCGTCTTTTGTATTTTGTTTTTCTAACATTTCACTCAGGCGGTTTCACTTTGCTTACACTTTCAGTTCTGGATATAAACAGCCCTTTAGAGACTTTCATCAGAGCAAGTAAAACACTATTGACAAAAACTCTCCAAACGTCCCTCCAATTCATCGGCCTGTAACCATCTTTTCAGAAATATAGTCAACAGCTAATGCTAAAAAGGCTAATAAAAGTCAGCAAAAATTGAACGAAACCTTGAACTGACATTGCATTTTTAAGTGAGAACTTTCCACAAAATACTGATACAGTGACAAGCAGTACATCATTCACAATATGTAGAGAAGAAACACAAAATTTTGTAATAAATAGGTTTTGAGACTTATGTCTGTTCTTCAAAACTGAACTCCAAGCTGTTATACATAAATAATAATTTAGTTACATTTTTCTTAAAATCACCATACCATTTAATAAAGGTGAGTATTTATTTTATTAATAGTCATTTTTATTGGTAAACTCCGGTTCATCATTACATATCACAAATATCCATATCTCATAAAAGAATATGTGTGCAACAGCAGCATATAAAGGCAGGGTACATATTTTAATAAACATTTCCCTTATAAAACATTAACCCATCTTAATTTAAGGCTAGTCACAGGTTTATTGTGAGCACCCAGTATTCCCTTAACATTATAACATTGTCTAAATACCGTACATGTCTACACCATAAGTTCCAAACAGGCTTCCAACAAACCAATGCCCTTGTAGGGGTAACAACCCAATTGAATTATTGCTGGCAAGGTAAGAAACTACCAGTAAAGCTGTGACAAAGCATAAAATTGGGAGAGCAGGTGGGAAATTGCTTGGATTGGTCAGCAACCCCACCCTGAGCCCCTTTTAAAATATTTTGAACTTTCACACTACTTTCTGACCTTGTCCAATCTTGACCTTTGACCCTTTGGGCAGTCACAGAGGAGAGTAACTAACTCCCAAAGTCTTCCCATCATGTAGATGTTTCCAGCAACCAGGGATGCCTTTCTTTAGGCTAGGTTCACATCTGGCATTTTGTGAAGCTCCTGCTCATTTTTGGGTGATAAGCTTTGCCACAATCACGGCAAAACAGCACAGTATTTCGGTGGCATTGAAAATGAATGGCACCCTAACAGGCATGGTGCATTTTGTCATTATTGCAGAGCACTTTGGGATCATGGGCAGAATCTCAGCAATTACAGCTGAGATCACAAAATGCCCGATGCGAACCTAGTCTAAAAGTCAAGGGGCCCTGTATCTACAGGGGACATATGTACTACATTCCTGTGCGTATCAATGTTTTTGCTACCACGAGTCATAATTGATTATAACTATGCTGCATTGCACTCATGTAATCACTAGAGATCACAATACTGTATA